ATACAGCTATATATATACACACACACCCTTTCCAAAAAATTAGAATATCATGGAAAGTTGTTTAACTTCTATAATTTCATTCAAAAAGTTAATTTTTAATAGATGATAGATTTAGGGCCCAAAATTTAAATGATTTCAAGTATTTGTTTGTTTATTTTTACATAATTTGGGCTTCCATCTCGGGCAGCACGGTGGTGCAACTGGTAGAGCTGCTGCCTCTCAGCGAGCAGGTCCCTGGTTCAAACCCCGGTCCAGAGGCCTTTCTGGGTGGAGTTTGCATGTTCTCTCCGTGCATGCGTGGGTTTTCTCCGGGTACTCCGGTTTCCTCCCACAGACCAAAAACATGCATGTTAGGCTGATTGGTAACTCTAAATTGTCCCTAAGTGTGAGTGAGAGTGTGAATGGTTGTTTGTCTCGTTTGTCTCTGTGTGTCCCTGTGATGGACTTGCGACCCGTCCAGGGTGTACCCCGCCCCTCGCACAGTGATTGCTGGACATGGGCACCAGCGACCCCCGTGACCCAAAATGGAACAAGCGGGTAAAGATGATGGATGGGCTTCCATCTCATGAAACCCACAAAAACAGGATTTCAAAAGAGTGGAATACTGTGAAGACATCAACCCACACTACTCAGTTTTTGCAGAAAAAAAAAAGAAATAAATGAGGATCACAACAAATTAATTAAAATATGGTATTTTCAAAACGATATGTCAGTCTTCAATACTTGGCTGGGAATCCCTTTGTCTTAATCTCTGCCTCGATGCCACGTGGCATTGAGACAATCAGCCTGTGGCATTGACTGGGAGTTATGGAAGCCCAGATTTTCTTGATGTTTGCCGTCAGCTCTTCTTTGTTGTTGAGTCTGGTGCTCCTCATTCTCCTCTTGAGAATACCCCATAGATTCTCAATGGGATTTAGGTCCGGCCAGTTGGCTGGCCAGTCAAGCACTGTGGCATGGGCATCAAACCAGGTTTTGGTGCTTCTGGCGGCATGGACCAGGTCCTGTTGGAAGATGAAATCTGCATCTCCATACAGATCCTCAGCAGAAGGAATCATGAAGTCATCTAAAACATTCTGGTAGACTGTTGCGGTGACCTTGGATTTAAAAAGCAGAGTTTACCAACACCTGCACCGGACATTGCACCCAAATCATGACTGACTGTGGATATTTCACACTGGACCTCAACCAGTATGGGTTCTATCCTTCACCTTCTTCCTCCAAACCCTTGGAACTTGATTTCTGAATGAAAAGCCACACTTTACTTTCATTGGAAAAGAGGACAAAGGAACCAGACCGTTGTAGTCCATCTCCCAGATGTGTCTGAATGTGGTGGTTTTTGAAGCTGTGACTCCCGCATCATTCCACTCTTTCTGGATCTCTGCCAGATTCTGGAATCTTCTCTGTTTGATAATCTGCTAAAGCCCACGGTCATCTCTTTTGCTGGTGCATCTTCTCCTGCCACATTTTGCCCTTCCACTAGACTTTCCATTGATATGCTTGATATGCACTCTGTGAACAGCCAACCTCCTTAGCTATGAACTGTTGTGGTTTACCCATCCTATGGAGGGCATCAGTGATGGTCTTCTGAACAGTTATGTCTGCAGTCTTCCTCATATTGAACCAAACTGAAGCAGTTTAATGACACCTGGGGAAACCTGTGCAGGTGCTTTGAGTTTAGTAGATGATTAGTGTGTCACACTCAGTTTAAAACATTCATGCCCTGCAACATTTGGGCTGATTTCTCCACAGAGTTCTAATTTTTTTTAAATCTTGTTTTCGTGGGTTTCATGAGCTGGAAGCCCAAATTACCGGTATGTAAAAATAAACAAAGAAATACTTGAAATCGTTGAAATTGTGGGCCCTGAATCATCATCTATTAAAGATAAACTTTGTGAATGGAATTATGGAAGTTAAACAACTCTTCCATGATATTCTACTTTTCTGAAAATAGTCTGTGTGTGTATGTATTTATGTATATATATATATATATATATATATATATATATATATATATATATAT